TGATCCACCGCCGCTTTACTGTGGAAAATTGCCGCCATCTTCCTCCGGAACCCGGGGTTCCCCCCCCCCCCTCCGAAAATCCCCCCCCCCTGCTGGACCCCTCCCCCCTTTGCCCCGGCAAACCCTCCCCCTCCCCTAAACCCTCCCCCTCCCCCCCCCCCTCGAACTCGAAAACCGGGGGGGGTCACTACCGGTTCGAACCCCCCCCCCTCGAAAACCGGAGGGGGGGGTCACTACCGGTTCGAACCACTGAGCTGCCCCACTGTTCCCACCACTGTCCCCACTGTCCCCACCACTGTCCCCACTGTACCTCTGTTCCATTGTCCCACCGCCGTCCTCGCCACCGCCTTCACCACTGTCCCCACCACCACTGTACCCTCCACTGTCCTACAATTTCCACCACATTCCCACTGTCCCCACACCACTGTCCCCACAACACCGTCCCAACGTCCCACTGTTCCCACCATTGTCCTCACCATTGTCCTCACCACTACCGTCCCCACCACTGTCCCACTGTCCCCACCACTGTCCCGCTGTCCCCTCACCACTGTCCCCACCACCACCGTCCCCACCACTGTCCGCCCCCCCCCTCGGTTTTCCAGGGGGGGGGGTTCGAAACGGTAGTGACCCCCCCCGTTTTTCGAGCTCGAGGGGGGGGGGGTTCGAACCGGTAATGACCCCCCCCCCTTTTCATGATGAACTGGGGGGGGGGGCAGGGGTTCGAACAGGTAGTGACCCCCCCCGGTTTTCCGGAGGGGGGGGGGAGGGGTTCGAACTGGTAGTGACCGCCCCCGGTTTTCCGCAAGCAGCGGTAGAACACGCTCTTTCATGTATGGATGTATGTATGTATGTGTGTATATGTATACATACATACGTATGTATGTATATGTATATGCATATATATATACACACGAACACACGCACACACACACACACACACCACACACACACACACATATATATATATATATATTATAATATATATAATATATAATATATATATATCAGCCGGCACCCTTGCGGGGCCATCAGGTTGCGAGGCTTAGGTTTGCTGCTCCCTGCACCAGTTCCAGTTTGCAGTTTCGACTGTTACAGTATTGCTTTCTGCTTCCTACTGTAAATTGTCACTGTCCGCGCGAGGTGGGGGGAGAGCCGAAAACTATCCTGGTTAGCGTCCCCGAATCGCGTGCTCTGAATTTCTGGGGGGCCGTGGGACAAGTAAAAATACATCTGATTCGCGCTCCCGACGCAATGATTTCTAGTAAATTGCGCTGTAGTCGCGCCCCCGAGGCCAAGATCCCTTATACATTACGCTGTATTCGCGTCCCGGAAGCCACGACCCCTCGTAACATACACCATATTCACGCTCCTGAGGCCACGATCCCCCATAGACTACACTATATTCTCGTCTCTAGGGCCCCGATCCCCCGTAGATTACGCCACAGTCGCGCCCCCGAGGCTACGATCCCTCGCAAATTGCGCCACATTCGCGCCCCCGAGGCCACGATCTCCCGTAAATTACACCACATTCGCGCCCCCGAGGCCACGATCCCGAGTAAATTACGCCACTTTCGCGCCCCCGAAGCCACGATCCCTTGTAAGTCGCGTCGCATTCGCACCCCCGAGGCCACAGCTCCTACACGAGGTCCCAAGAGGCGCCCAAGACGCGCCGAAGAGGCCTTCAAGAATCTCAAAAGATACCCCACGAGGCCCCAAGAGGTCCCCAAGAGGCGCCCAAACCGTCTCCAAGAGGCCTCCGAAAGGCTCCCCACGACACCCCAACACATATACAAGAGGCCTCAGACCCACAATCCAGGCACGGTGGCGGGAAGGTCACTAGGATCCGCCGCCCTCTGTTGGCTTGCCACAGGGATGCCGGGCGTGAGAGATCCTAGACGGGTTTGGTTCTTTTAGAAAACTCCCTGGGGCTTCGGCCCGTCCCGCCGGGGTCTCGGAGAGCCGCACAAGGCCGCGCAAACGACCAGAATTTGCGCACAGATTTTTCTAAAGACGACCAAGATGGCTTTCAAGACCGCCAAAACGGGCAAAGATGGCCTCCAAGACACCTCCAAGATGGTCAAGATGGCCTTCAAGACAGCTCAGATGGTCCCAAGATGCCTCCAAGACGGCCCAAGATGGACCAAGAGGCTCCCAAGAGGCCTCCAAGACGGTCCCAGAGGCTCCCAAGAGCGGCTCCAGGAACGCCCGCAGAAATCAAAATCAATGATTTTCCTATGGTTTTGACAGATTTTGGCTTTTGCGCTTCTTCGGCATTCCGACTGCCCAAAATGGCCCCAGAGGACCCCATGGTCACCCAAGATCACACAAGATGCCTCCAAGATGGTGCTATGACGGGCCGAGAGGCTCCCAAGACGGCCCTAAGAGGGCACCAATAAGGCCCAAGAGGCGTCCAAGACGCTCGCGAAGGTCTCCAAGACGCCCCAGATGGCCTCCAAGATGCCTCCAGGACGGCCAAGATGGCACCCAAGACGGCCAAGATGGCCCCAAGATGCACCCAAAACGGCCCAAGATGGCCTCAAGATGGCCTTCGACTGCCCAAAAGGCCCGCAAGAGGCCTCCAAGACTTCCCAAGAGCCCTCCAAGACGTCCTCCAGGAAGGCCCGACAGGGCTAAAATCATTGATTCTCCAATGGTTTTTGAAAGATTTTAGCTTTTGCCCCTTTTCAGCTCTCTGACGGCCCAAGACGGCCCAAGCGGCCCTCAACATCGACCCAAGAGCGTTCAAGAGGCCTCCAAGATGGCCCCATGACAGCCGAAGGGGCCCCCAAGAGGGGCCCAATAAGGCCCCAAGACGGCCCAAGAAGCCCCCAAGACGGCCAAGATAGCCTCCAAGACGGACAAGATGGCCTATAAGATGCCTTCAAGGCGCCCAAGATGGCCGTCAAGACGGCTAAGATGGCCCGAAGATGCACCCAAGACGGCCCAAAATGGCCTCAAGATGGTCGAAGACGGCCCAAACGGCCCGCTAGAGGCCTCCAAGACGGCCCAAGAGCCCTCCAAGACGTCTTCCAAGAAGGCCCGACAGGGTTAAAATCATTACTGGTTTTTGACAGATTTTGGCATTTTCTTCTTTTCAGCTCTCCGACGGCCCAAGACAGCCCAAGAGGCCCCCAACATCGTCCCAAGAGCGCCCACAAGTCCTCCAAGGTGGCCCCATGACAACTCAAGAGGCCCCCAAGACGCCCAAGATGGCCTCCAAGACAACCAAGATGGTCTCCAAGATGCCTCCAAGACGGCCAAGACGGCCTCCAAGACAAGATGCACACAAGATGCACCAAGACGGCCCAAGATGGCCTCAAGATGGCCTTCGACTGCCCAAAAGGCCCGCCAGAGGCCTCCAAGACGGCCCAAGACCCCTCCAAGACGTCCTCCAGGAGGCCCGCAAGCTCGGAAACCACCTGGTCCGATAGCTCGCCCGACTCCGTGTTCCCCGAAGGCTTTCGAAATCCACTCGGGGAACGCGTGGCCTGATAGCTTGGCCAAGCTCAAACCCATCTTTCGGCCACGCAGGCGCTTCCAAAAAGGCAAGGGGCGGCGGTGATTCGCCGTAGGCGTCTTCGGTTCTTGAGGTTTGAGGTTCTCGGGCGGTTTCGTATGTTCTCGGCGGCTTTCCAGCCTCGGGATGGCTTCCAGCAGCTGCGTCTCGCCGAGGGCGTTCCAAGGGTGCCGGGATCGTCCCGAATGGCCGCCGGAGGCCCGAGTATATCCCGAAACCCAGGCCTGAGTTATTGGTCGGGGAGAAGCTGCCATGGGGCGCAGGAGGACATACTAGTACTGTGTGTCCTCCTCGGAGACGTGCGTCCGACATGGACACATAGTACAACCATCTTGTAGTATACCATACCCCGAGCGGTATGGCCAGACAGGTCCGAGTGACGCTGACTCAATCTCCTCCGAAGAGAAAAGAACAGGGGAGGAAACAAGGAAAGAAGATCCTGAAGGTTCTGTTGGCGTCGGCGCGGAAGATCCGGGCACCCTCAGATGACAGGGGCGTTGTGTCGTACTCAGCCAACCTGCTGGCCTCGACGCCCATGGAGGCCAGCCAGCCTCGGCGCGGCCCCAACGCATTGCAACCTCAGCGGCCAGCCTGTTCAATCTACCCTTTTGCCTTCCCTCTCCCCCAAGAAGCATCTCCCTTCTCCTCCTTCCGCTCGCGTGCCCCTCTTCCGCCTTCCCCACCGCATCCTTTTCCCCCGTCGCGTCCCCTCTTTGCCTTCGCTCAGGGAAGCCCAGAATCGAATCGATAAGTCGGATCGGCGATCGAAATGAATCGGATCGGCGGAAATCTGCAGCCAAATCGGGAGGAGACGAATCGGCGGAAATCGGCAGGCTAATAGGCCTCCATTGAGAATCGGAATCAAATCGGAATCCAAGGTCTAATCGAATGGGAATCGGAACCCATCGGAATCGAATCGAAGCGAAGCGTGGGAGTCGAACTGCGCCCTGCCGACCTTCCACCGTTCCCTCTCCTTCTCTTGATCTGCGGCTGCGTCCGAAGCCCTCGTGACTCATCCTGCCCAGGGGGGAGCAAAGGGGGCGCTGAACGGGGGGCTGGGGGAGGGGGCGCGAATGCCCCCTGTTGGGCCCTCCACCACATGAAGGGGACAGGCACGAGCAAGGGATTTAGGCTGGGACGCGGAAGCTCGGGGAGAAGCTCGAGGTTCGAGGCTCGAGGCTCTTGAGGCTTGAGGTTCTAAGGCGGTCTCGTATGTTCTCGGCGGCTTTCCAGCCTCGGGATGGCTTCCAGCAGCTGCGCCTCGCCAAAGGCGTTCCAAGGGTGCCCGGATCGTCCCGAACGGCCGCCGGAGGCCCCAGTTATATCCCGAAGCCCAGGCCCCAATTTTGGTAGGGGAGAAGCTGCCATGGGACGCAGGAGGACATACGACATGCTCGTGCTAATTAGGCGTCCTACTTAGGGACGAACGTCCGACCCGACCATATCCGCCGATCCGGCGTGTTAGTTTCTGAGAGCGTAGGCTTGAGCTCGCTCAAGCTTCGCTCTGTCGGGGGCGGGCGCTCATGCCATTCAGGCCCGGGAGGGATGAGGGGGGGAGGAGACTGACGCCACTCAGGCCCGGGAGGGAGGAGGGGGGGGAGCTGACGCCATTCAGGCCTGGGAGGGAGGAAGAGGGGGGGGCTTCGCTTTTTTGGGTGTGGGAGGGCGGGCTGACGCCATTCAGGCCAGGGAGGGCGGGAGGGGGGCGAGGGGAACGACGCCATTCAGGCCCGGTGAGAGGGAAGAAGGGGCGGGGGGGGGGGGAACGCTCGGGGAGGGGGGAGGGGGGCTGACGACAATTTCAGGCCTGGGAGGGGGGAGGGGGGGGGGGGGAGCTGACGCCTTTCAGACCGGGATGGAGGAAGGGTGTGGGGGGGGGGGCGTGGAACGGGGGAAAGCCACGGGGATGTAAACGGGGGTGGGGTGGGGGGGGGGCGACTCCATTCAGGCCGAAAGGGGAGGAGGCGTGGGGGGGGACGCCTCAGGCCCCGGAGAGAGGGAGGGGGAGTGGGATTCGCCCTTCGGGGGGGGGGCGGCTGACGCCATGCAGGAACCCCAGGAAGGAGGAGAAAGAAGGGGGGGACCGGCCGCCATTCAGGCACCGGGAGGGAGGAGAGGGGGGGGGGGGGGCGGACTAACGCCATGCGGGAGGAGGGGGAGGAGGGCTGACGCCATGGCTGACGCGATTTCAGGCCCCGGAGGAGGAAGTCGGGGGGGAGGGAGGGCGGAAGAGGGGGGGAACGTCATGGGCTAACGCCAATTCGGGCCCCTGGGCATGAGGATGTCGGGGGGGGGGGGGGGAGGGGGGGGGCTGACGCCCATGGCTGACGCCTTCGGGCCCGGGAGGCAGGGAAAGGGGGGAAGGGGCTCGCTCAAGATTCGCTTGTCGGGGGGGGAAGCTGCTGAACCGCCATAAGCTGACGCCATCCCAGGCCCAGGAGGGGAGAGGGGGGGGGGGGAGATTCAGACGGGAGGAGGAAAGTGGGGAGGGGGGGGGAGCTGTACGACAGGATCCACGCCATTCAGACCCGGGAGGGGGGAGGGGGGGGGGGGGGGCTCTCGCGAGCTCGCTCTGCCGGGGGGGCTGACGCCATAGCTGACGCCATTCAGGCCCGCGAAGGAGGAGTCGGGGAGAGGGGGGGGAGGGCTGACGCCATGGCTGACGCCATTCAGGCCCGGGAGGGGGGACAGGGGAGCTCGCTCAAGCTTCACTCTGTCGAGAAGGGGGGGGGGGCTGACGCCATGGCTGACGCCATTCAGGCTCGGGAAGGGGGGGGGGGAAAGCCGACGCCATGGCGGACGCCATTCACGCCCGGGACGGGGAAGTCGGGGGGGGCGGGGGCTGACGCCATGGCTGACGCCATTCAGTTCTGGAAGGTGGGATGGGGGATATCCCATGAGTTTGGCTGTTCACGCGAGATCGTCACTTTCGAATATCCGAACCTTGCCCAAGCAAGTTCAACATCTCTATCTTATGAGGATGTCTCGAGGGAGCGCTCTACTTTTAAACATAAAACGTCGTCCGTTGCAAACAGAATCGGTAGCACCCCGGATCGGCGGCACCGGCCGGAGGCCACAACAACAGTACAAACATCTTCCAGTACATCGTTTCCCGAGCGGTGCGGCCAGAAAGCGCCCGCCACCGAGCATATGCTAGAAGATCTCTCGGCGCGCGCGTCGCCCCCTGAGGGGCGACGCGCGCACAGTATTTGTATGAGCGGGCGACGCCGATGAGGGCACAAGCCTGAGCAGTGGATCTGGGTCGCCACATCACCTGGCTGAGGCGCACGGGAACTGTGGCTCGGCCGTTCTGGAAACAACGCCTTGTCCAGTACACAGGGGCAACGATTTAGCTGCAATGGCCAAGGCAACGATAGCAATGAGAATCAACCGCCGTGACGCAGGCATCTAACGGTGCGTCCTCACATTTTCAAGAATCCCATGTCGGATTTTGGGGGGCGGTTCAAGAGTGATCTCAACGACGAAAACTGTTTCGGCTTGTGTCGTGCGCGCGGGCGAGGCCATTATGTGGTAACCATCTTGTTGGCTCTTGGAGATTGTCGCTAATCGACGCTAATCGACGCTAGGCGGCGCTAGATCGACGGTAATCGACGCTACCTCAGCGCTTACCCATCGAACACCTGATGCGAATCGACGCTAATGAACTCTGGAGACGGAATTGCGAGGGCACACGAGGTTCCCATGCGTTTACGTGGCGATATTCGAACCCTACCCCCACCAACCATCGATTCTCCTGAATCGATGGGAAGCGGGTGCAGGGCTTGGACTTCGCCGCCGTGCTCGACGAGTTCCGAACCCTACCCCCCGCCCCGCGGCTCCCATAATTTGCTGCCGAAGACTAAAGCGTGCGTGCCCCTGTTTGGGCAACAAAGCGCTCGCGTGCACGAGGAGGGCCAGAGAACCAGCCAAATAAGGACTCCTCCGAACCCATACTGGCCCTCAGATCAACGTCTTGACTGTGTACAAGGCTCCCATGAGATGCCACCGAAAAGCCCATGTGCGCGGGGACGATGGTGCGTCGCCGCAGATGGGGCCACAAGCCGGAAAAAGAAAAACGCCCTGCTCATGCCCGTCTCGCGGGGTGCCGCGCGGGATCGTCCTGTGGGCTGTCCCATCATTGTCCCGTGGGTTGACCCGCAGTCATCCCGTGAGTAATCCTCTAGAGGATAAGGCACCGGTCCTGGGCCCAGGATGGGCCTGGCCAGGACCGGTGTATGTACAATGTACGTAGCTCCCGCCGCGCGAATCACGCGAGCTGTCCCGCGGGTTGTTCAGGAGCCAATAACGGGGGCAAAGTCAATGAGAAAGTCGACACGGAACGTCTCGGTCGCGCTGGAAGTCTTGGTCGTGCTCGTCCGCCTCCCCTCCGTCGTCCGCACTGCAGGATGGCGCTGATGCTTGAGCCGCCGTGGCAGCATGCGCGCGGGCCAGCGCGATGCCCTACCCAAGGTTGTCCTGTGGGTGTCCCGTGGGATGTCCCGAAATTGACATTCGGGAAATGCACACCGAGATGCAATGCCAATTGCAGATAGCTAGATCGGTAGCGCTGTCGATGGATAGATCGTCAGTCACGCGGGTGCATAAATGCACAGTTCGTCTGCACGTCGTATAGATGTTATGTGTCTGCACATGTTTTTTGGCCTAGATTGAGGGCTACACATATTCAATCCGACGGGTACTTCGATACATCGCTGGTAGGTAGTCGAAGGTAGCTTCTGCTCACGCGGTATTCGACAGCCTCTTGAGAGCCAACAGGCTGCGAGGTGGAAATTCCCTGCTCCCTGCAACGACTCCCATTTCCAAGGTCATAGCTTAGATTTCGAGCTCCAATGCTAGAGATGGAAGGACGTGCGACGACCCTGGACCCCCAAAAACACCTGGCTTTCCTCCCCAAAAGTCCGCCGACACCCGCTTGCCAGGGGTGCATAGGCGTGTCCCCCTCCCCCCTTCGAGAGCGCGCCGTTCGCGCGAAAACAGTTCGCGCGAAATCCGCGGCCGTTCCAGCGAAATCGTTTCGGCGCGTGCGCGCGAAAAGGGATGAAGGGGTGAAGCGCTGTGGATTCCTCACTGATCCTCATCCTGATCCCCTCTTTTCAGATATCCCCCTCTTCCTCCCTTTCCTCCCTTTCCTCCTCCTCCTCCTCCTCCTCTTCCTCCTCCTCCTCCTCCACCTCCTCCTCCTCCGCCTCCGCCTCCGCCTCCTCCTCCTCCTCCTCCTCCTCCTCCTCCTCCTCCTCCTCCTCCGCCTCCGCCTCCGCCTCCGCCTCCTCCTCCCCCTCCTCCTCCTCCTCCTCCTCCTTCGCCTCCTCCTCCTCCTCCTCCTCCTCCTCCTCCTCGAGCACGCAACGTGAGGCACGGGAGCCGCGGTTCGGCTACACCCTCGCCCCGCGACTAGCAGGAACAGCGGTTCCTGCGCAACCCAAGCAGGACAAAATGTCCACGCCCATGGACCCAGCAACTGGCAGGGACCGAGATTTCCACACGTTCCGGACAAACTATAAAACATCACGGTTCCCGCCATCCGCGGGGC